CGATTTTTCAGTTTACACTACAGGTCCGAATGCCGATGATTTGACACTTCGGCTCAATTGTTACCTTCCAAAGCTTTACGACTTCTTCAATAGCAGAAATTTGGAGATTTCCACCTCCAAGTCCTCCCACAATGCTGCCCTACGTCTGATTACAGGTTGCCATGTCATCGCTTCAGAATGGCACCTTCACTCAAAATGTCAGATGTTAACGGTAAGGCAGCATTCGGAGCTAATAGCATCACAATTCCTACTCCTATGCCATAATCCTAGCCACCCGTGCCATCATATCAGCACGCAACAACATCCTTATCTCAACATAAAGACCACCCTCCTCTCCAAATGGTCTTCAACAACTCATGTGGTTCTACCAACAACCATAAATAGCGATTCTCTGAAGTCCGCTCTAAGAACACTACACAAAAACACTATCGAAGCCGCCACAAAGACGTATCAGTGGCCGTTGTTGTTGCTTGACGGATGGCCTCCACCTACACCAAAAATAGATCCTACAGAAGAATCACTTCCCAGGGCAATCAGACGGACCCTTGCCCAACTCCGCTCTGGCCATAGTATTCTTCTAAACAGCTACAAAAACAGAATCGACAATGGGCACCTCAACACCTGTCCTTTCTGCAACAATCATACAGATGACGTACCGCATCTGTTTAGCTGTTCACAAAACACCACAAAACTACAACCAATAGATCTCTGGAGAAACCCAAATGCAGTGGCGGTTTGGCTCTGGCCTCGATTGAAGCCCTAGGGGTCCCCCAGAATGGGGCAACAACAACAAATACCCCTCGACGCCATTCACATCTGTCATTCGCCTCAGTATCACGCAACCCCGCTTTCACTCTGTCCTTCTCCACTTGCTCTCTCCATCCCAATCGCGGACGATCCCTTTCTATCAGCCGCCAAAATGGTAGTGTCATCCGCATACATAATATATTTTACAGCCTTAGTCGATCTGCATAGATCATTGATAAATATATTAAAAAAACAGGGCCAAGTACAGAGCCCTGAGGCACTCCAGAGATAATAGGCAACAAGGAAGAATGATGTTTACCTATAACAACATGTTGAGATCGATTAGCCAGGTAACTTTGACACAATTTTAACAAAGGTCCTCTCATACCATAATGCGACATTTTCGTTAACAACAACTCATGATCGACAGTTGTCAAATGCTTTTTTTATACCAATAAACGTACCAATGGTGTGTCGTTTTAAATCGATGTTACTACAAACATAAAGTGTTAAGTCCAAAATAGCAAGTTCAGTTGAACTCTCCTTTCTGAAACACAGGAAACAAAATTTGAAATTTGTTTAAAAAACGACGTAATACTACCACATATAATTTTTTCCATGATATATATATATATATATATATATATATATATATATATATATTGTATATATATATATATATTAATTAGTATTATTATAGTTTTAATGTTATTAAAAACATATACAAATAAATTCGAAAAATGAAACAAAGTTTTAATGAAAAATTTTAACAACGAAAATATTTTTTAATTTTTAAACGATATAAATTTTAAATGATAAAAATAAATTTAAAGCAATAACGTCAGACCCTACACTTTTTTTAAAAAGATAACTTAATAAAATAATTCGACAAATTAATAAATATTTAAACGATGACAAATTTCACATCCTCGCCGGCGAGTATCAACCTGGTTATTTATATGATAACGTTAAAACTCATAAATCCAATTATCCTCTACGACCAATCATTAGCCAAATACCAACAGTTACATATCCAATTGCAAAAATACTCAAAATACTTTTGCCATACCTTCCAGACAACTACAACTTTAAATCGTCAAAAGAGTTTATTGATATATTAAATACAAATCCATCATCCGAACATATCGCATCACTTAATGTCGAATCCTTATACAAAAATGTTTCTATCAAAGATACTATCGACATTATAACTAAAACAGTTTATGATTCACAATATTCATCATTAAAAATTCCTAAAAAATACTTGAAACAGTTTTTAGAAATTTGTACAACAGAAGAACCATTCATCAACCCTACCGGTAAACTTTATAAACAGATTGATGGAATTGCCATGGGGTCCCCTTTAGGCGTTTTCTTTGTTAATTTCTATCTTGGTAATCTAGAACAAGTAACCTTCAACCCAAATCCTGAACTTTAACCCAACATCTACACAAGATTTGTTGATGATATTTTTGTATTTTATACCGATCATAATCTAATCGACAATTTATTAAAAATATTCAATAAATCCAAATTAAAATTTACCATTAAATATGAAAGTTATAAAAAAATTTCCCTTTTCCTGACGTTCTTGTCACTCGCAACGAACACAACTTTCAAACCTCCGTCTACATTAAAGGTACTAATAAAGGAATATGTTTAAACGACAGTGGTGAATGTACTGATGAACATCAATTGAGTACTGTAAGATCATTCATCAACTGCGCCTTCACACACTCCTCATCCCCAGACGACGTTTCATCAGAAATCAAACGTGTCACAAATCTTCTTATAAATAATAATTACTACGCAGATCTAATTAAAAATGTCATCAATAAAAAGTTAAACGAGTGAACCAAAACAACAACAACAACAATAATAATAAAAATAATAGTAATAATAATAATAATAATAATAAAAATATAGTCACCATTATCAACAATAACCATAAAGGCAATAATAATACCAACAACAACGGTAATAACATTAACAACAATAACAGCAACGGTAATTACATTAACAGCAATGACATCAACGGCAATTATATTAACAGTAACAACAACAATAACAACAACGATGGTAATATTAACAAAAACAATAACAACAATTGTAATGACACTAACAATAAAAATAATAACAACAATAATAACAACAACGATAATGCCATTAACACAAACAACAATAATAATAATAACACCAATATACTATATTATCGAAATTTCATGTCTTCGTCTTACAAAACTGATGAAAAGATCATGAAAAAGATAATTCATGATAATATTAAACCAACTAACCTGAACGATAGAATAAAATTAAGAATCTTTTGCAAAAACTACAAAACATCTAACCTTTTAATTTTGAATAATTGTCTACCTCACAACATTTCCCTTTTGAAACTTAGTCATCATATATAAATTTTCTTGTTCTCTTGACAACTGTGCGCGTCTTCAAACTTCCTTTATAGGGATGACTACTACAGCACTATCGCGTAGACTCACTATGCACTAAAGAGACGGTGCAATAAAAAACCATCTAGAAACTTTCCACAGCACTCCAATAACTAGAAACCTTCTAGATAACAAAACAAAAATTTTATACAACAATCAACAGCACTACAACCTAAGAATCGCAGAAGACATTTTCATCCGAGGTAGGAGGTTGTTTTCTTTGTCATCAACTTTTTGCGCCAAATTAGACGATCAGTTGTATCCATTTTATTTAAATTTAGAGCTTTCATGTCTTGCTCGATTGTTTGCGACCAGGACTTCTTTGGACGGCCTTTGGGACGTGTGCCAGGTACTTCAACATCTGCAAGAGAAGTTATGGCACTGTTTCTACTTCGTTTGACATGACCAAACCACCGCAGACGGTGTTGCCGGCATTCGTCCTTTATATCATCTAAACCAGCACGACGCAGGATTTCGGTAGATTCGATGTGGTCCTTCAGACTAATTCGTTGCATCCATCGGAGCATTTTCATGTCGGTTCGTTGAAGTTGTTGTTCCAGTTTGGTTGTCATTGGCCATGTTTCTGCACCATATAACAACACCGGACGCATCACAGATTTATAAAGTCACGCCGCATCATGATAGAGGCAAGGAGATGCCATTTATTCCAGGCTGCACGTATGCGTGCTCGAACGGCAGCTTCAGTTGTTCCAGTACAATCCAGAACATCCCCTAGATATTGTAACGATGTGACTTTCTTTACCTTAATGGCTTCAAAAACATTCTATTTTGAATTTGTTGTTGTAGATTGATGCAAGCAGGACAAACAAAATGGAATACCGAATAAAGTTTTTTGTCCTGTCATGCTTAAATGTTCTATCATGTTTAATATAAATAAAAATTTTGGTTTTGAACTCAAGAAGCTTGAGAATGATTTAAGATCAACCGTTAGAAAAATTAAACAGGAAGCTAACTAGCGCGGAACATGCTAGAATTTATATATTGAGTATATGGCCTAAACGCTTCACCATGAACACCAACAATTTTTTATTAATTTTTGTAAATTGGATAATAAAACTACTGTCAGAAATATTGAAAATCACACTCGTAAATTTTCCAAAGCTATATATATATATATATATATATATATATATATATATATATATATATATTGATGAAAATCACAGCATGTTCGGCGTAAGTTAACGTCCAATTTAACTTTTCGATTTTTCTAACAGTTGATCGTAAATCATTTTTCAAGTGTTAACTAACGCCGAACATGCTGTATTTTCATCAATAATTGCATTTCGGACAGTCTTAATCCAATATATATATATATATATATATATATATATATATATATATTATTGGTAAACCATTACTCGCCACAGGCCAGACGTACGATATGGAATTACGATATTAACGATATGGAATTGTTGTAAATCGTATTTATTGAGAACATTTGACATAATTTGGCTAACAACGTATCGTTATCGTTCCATATCGTTGAGTGTATTTTCAAAAAGTTAATTAATGATAAATGGGCAAAAATGTTCAATGAAATTTGCATAGCTGAAAACCTCGTCCCAAAATATATCCATGATATTTGTAAGCAAATACCGTTATAACGTACTAGCCTGTTGTCGTTAAAATAATTCTATGGCCTGAATGCTTACTTTAAAACAACTGTTAAAACTTTTCAGTGAACAATTTTTCATGAGATTTCACATGAAGTAAAAAATTTAAATACCGCCTATTTTCATTTTTATTATTTTGTTCCTGGTAAAATCAATACTAAACATACAGGTTGGAATTGAAGATGTTTTTGGAGAAGTTCTTCCTTCTGATAAAGTGGCTGTTATCAAGTGGCTGCAAAGTAATTTATTTCTTGCGCATTGTTTGTTATGAATACGTTCATTTCAATAAAATAACTGATATTCAAGTTAATGTTAATGAAAAGGTCAAAATAAAGTAGTGGCCATGGTTGGTGATGGAGTAAATGACTCACCCGCACTTGCACAAGCAGATATTGGTATTGCTATCGGATCTGGTACCGATGTAGCTGTGGAAGCAGCTGATGTTGTTCTTATCCAGGTATTTTATGAATGCTTATTGTGCAGCTGTTTAATTGAATTTCACTTCAGAAACGATAAAAAATTTGATCAAGATCTCATATAACTTGACTTCGATTAACAAGAAACGATAAAAAATTTGATCAAGATCTTATAAAACTTGACTTCGATAAACAAAATTTAACTTCATCAAAATACGATTTATATAATTTAGAACACTTGACAGATGAAAAACTCCGATTTTAAAACGAAACGCCATTGTATGATTTTGTTGTGATTTTGATCTTTTTTGTTTTGATTTAATTATTTGTGCAGATTTATAATGATTGAATTGTTTCTGACAAATGAAACACCAGACGTTCCAGCGTCGATTTTTCCATTGATAGGTGTTACTTCTTTGAGGCCTCTTACAATATTTTTTGATATCCCCTTTTTTCCACAGTTCCAGCATTCTGATGGTTTGCTGGAACAATTCTTTGACAATCACTCTTTTCGTGAATTTTCGGTATTCTTGTGTCTTTTTCAACATCAACTTTACTGATTCCAGTATCATATACTTTTCTTCAAATTCCCTTTTTTATCTTTGATATTATAAGGTAATATTTTTTATCTGGGTCTCGTAGGTCTTGTATAAACGCTTTTTTTGCCGTTCTCTCTCTCTCTGAATTCCGGGGTACCTGTTGGGGTGTCAGTCTCTATGTCTTGTGCTAGTTGTTGAGCAATTTACCTGGTTTCTGCATACGGTAGTCCAGCTATGTTTAAATAGAAACCCTCAGTTTATTTGTTTCCATCGCGTCGGTTACGATCTCGATGTTATTGCGATCCTTGGCAGGAATCGATTGTGATACTTCCAAAGTGGAGCCTCTTAGTGCTATTATCAATGCTGTCTTATGTGTGTGTGTGTTTTTATTCGCGTTTTTTCGCGTTCCGCTCGATGCCGAGTGTTGCTGCTTTGAATCTTGCCTGCTAGCTTTTTCAGGGTATAGTACCGTCAAATTTTGGTACATTTATTGATTTGGCAGAGGCGTAATCGTGTATGTTTTTTTTCTTTTGTTTCCATTTTTGGGTGATTCAACATTGTGAACAACCGTGATTATCCACTGAAGCGCGAACATAAAATTAAGAAAGAGCTAATAATAAAGACAAAGAATAAGTGTGTGTTTGCAAGGCAATCTGAAACAAGGCTCAAGTCCACTAAAAACTCAAACACACCATCAACAACTATTTACATCATATTAATAGCAACCATTACAGGATAAATAAAATAAAGACCCAACGTAAACTTAATTTAAAAAATGTAAACCTTATAAACGTAGACCACTTTTTATATTTTTAGTCAATATCTACCGACAATAGCCGAACAACACATCTTTAACCTCGGACTCAATTGTCATTACTTGAGGAAACCCAAGAATCTTCAAAAAAATTGAAATTGAACAATTAATTGATGACTTTATTAAATTTGGAAGTCAAAAACTGAAAACACTCAACACAAACATTGTAAATGATTTAATAGATAAGATGAGAAATAATTTCAAAAGCATGATTCTTACAAAGGAATTGATTGATGCCGCAGCAACCTTAAAAAACAACAACATTATTATCATAAAAGCTGACAAAGCTCCAAAGTATTGTTATAAATACGGCGCCTCATAATTATGACAATAATTATCTATGGTGCGCCGTATTGTAAAATGTCTATGCATTGCAAAAAAAGCTGTATAAATAGGACGACATATGAAGCGAAGAAGTGCGAAAACGACGAGAATGACACGATGAGTACAGGTAAATAAGAAGACGGACGACAGTTGACGTAAAAGTGATTAATGTGATTTTATGTAGTTATTAAGATTAATTTTTTGTTTCTATTACTGCTGGTATTAGATAAACGTTTGACGTAGTTTGCGTTTAAAGTCATCTGAAATAAAACTGCTTAGGAATCAAGAATCCACGTAGAGAGAAATAACTATACCCTACAAGTTTAAAGGGTCGGTTATAACTGTATGTTATTATGGATAGAAATGACTACAACAACAAACTTAATAACATTCTTTGTGATCGAATTGAAAACAGCATTTAAAACAGACGAAATTGTTTTCAAAAACGTGAAGGCTAGAAATACAGACAATAAAGTAAATCTTTGAATTTATTATCAGTATGCAAAACGGCAAACCTGAAAACAAAGAGTAACTGCACGCCTCTCCAAAATTCAACTCTGGAAAGAAATCACCTTATATACGAGTTTAAATGCCCTCTTAACGGGTGCTCTCGTTAGCCGCACTTATATATTGGAGTGACAACTACATCCCTATCACGTTGCCGTACTATGCACAAAAAACGACTTGTTAGAACTCACATTACGAGAAATATAATTAAACAATACTAGCATAATATACGGTTACAGGAACCACAGCCATCTAAGAATTGCTGAAGCGATCTTCATTGACCAAAGAAAACCTTAAATCAACAGACAGCAAAGAATAGCAACATCATTATCGACATAAAGAATATTATTGAAAGATTTTACAAGCAAAAAGAATAAACAGAACAAAGATATAATAAATGATATAACAATATAATATATAATAATAATAAACAGACAGGACAAAGCAGAATAAATGCACTTTGCATAGGACAAGGCAGAATAAAAACTGTCAAATGCATCTGTGTTTCCAACCGTTGTGCTGACACAAAGAATTGTAAAATCTTGAAATATTCCTATATAAGCGCTGAAGATGAAAAATCGAAATATGGCATTCACCATGAACACCAATGATTTTCTAATTCATTTTAATAAATTGGATAATAATTACAAAATTACTGTCAGAAAAATTGAAAAGCTCAATAGTATACTTTCTATTATCAAATAGTGCGTATATATATATATATATATATATATATATATATATATATATATATATATATATATATATATATTGGTAATAGACCTCACTTCCAACCCGGCGCTTAACCAACAACGAAAACAAAGAAGTATTAAAAACGAGCATTGTAAATAGTGACAAAGAAGAATATGATGCTATCGATGAAAAAAAGGAGACCAAAGAAGATGACCAGAACATTCGGAATCGAAATATGGCCTTATTTGCAGCATGAATTCGGAAAATAAGTTTATTTTGAATTTTAATAAACTAAACGTTCACCAAAAAACTTTAGTGAGAAAAATTGAAAAAACGGACTACAAACATATTAACGCCAAACATTCGGTAGAATTTATAGAATATTTAAAAAAAATATATATATCAATCAATCAATCTTCGTTTTGCGTCCAGAGACCCGGTTTCCCGAGATGGGACGTTGTTTTCTTTGTCATCAACTTTTTGCGCCAAATTAGACGATCAGTTGTATCCATTTCATTTAAATTTAGAGCTTTCATGTCTTGCTCGATTGTTTGCGACCAGGACTTCTTTGGACGGCCTTTTGGACGTGTGCCAGGTACTTCAACATCTGCAAGAGAAGTTATGGCACTGTTTCTACTTCGTTTGAATGACCAAACCACCGCAGACGGTGTTGCCGGCATTCGTCCTTTATATCATCTAAACCAGCATATACTAGATTCCAAATGTCACCAGTGCGTATCGGTTTTGTGATTTCTTCCATCACAGTTATAAATAACAGTGGACTGAGAATTGAGCCTTGGTGAACTCCAACGCCGATGTCAAATGCATCTGTGTTTTCAACCGTTATGCTGACAAGAGTCTTAGTATTCATACATATATATATATATTGTTGTTATTATCGATCATATAAAATTATGTTGTTGTTTTTTTTCTATGTACCTTATGTGTTTTGTGCATGTATGTATATTAGTATGTGTGAATGATAGAATGCGTGTATTGTATGAATGGATCTATGTGTAATTTCTTTTGACTTTAATATTCAATCTGTTATTATTTGACTTTACTGGATTTAAATAATGTTATTGATTATATGTATTTATAGAATTTTTGTTATCTTTATTGGTTATCTGTGTTTAATAGTTATATAGGAGTAATTATTTTTTGATTTTTTTACATTAAATAATAATAAAAATGATGTTAACAGTCGTAATAACTTTAAAGATTGTATTCTTCTTGTACCATTTATTTCGAACTAATATATAACTTATAACTTATATAGTAGTAATTATGTTTTGATTATTTTACATTAAATATTAATAAAAATAATGTAAAATACGTAATAACTTTCAAGAATGTATTCCTCACGTACCTTTTATTTCAAACTAATTTAATCTTTGATTTTTGTTGAACTACTTTAATCTTTGATTTATGTTTATCAATGTTGATTTTATTCGGATAGGGTGACTTTCCTACAAGCATTTGGTTGCTTTTTAGTTTACCCTTCTTTTTTGAGAAAATAAAATATTCAAAATTATTGGTTTAAAATTATAGTTTTATTATGATTAAAAATGTATACAAATAAATTCGAAAAAAGAACATATAATATAACGAAAAATTTTAATTTTTTTAAGTTTTTCGTTGTTAAAATTTTTGTTAGATTATATGTTCCTTTTTCGAATTTATTTGTATATATTTTTAATAGTATTGAAAATATCACTTTATATTATATAACTATAATTTTAAATCAATGAATAATGCACTGACGATGACGGTTTAGCGTCGAAATAGATCTATCTGCAATAATTTTAATAAAATGTTTGTTAATAAGAATAAAGTTTCAATTTTTAACAGACTCAATTTCGTTGATAAAAATTTATTAAGAAAACTTTGAATATAAGTTGATAAACACTAATAAATCGGTAGAATTTATTACATACTGTCAAGAATTTGGTTTTCTACCAGTATTTACCAAAACTCAGGATCAACCGAACTGTTCTTACTATTGAGCAAGAACATGAACAACGTCAGCTTCATCTTAACCGTGAGTTAAATATTAAACAAAATCTTGGCCTCGATATTAAATTGAAGTTAGAGAATCCAAAAAACCAATTTAACAATCTAAACATTAACGAAGATATTAGATTTTAATTAAATAACTTATTAAGACAATGTCGTTCATCACATCAACGCCTTGTTAATCAACGCATTCATCAAAAATTAAATTCTTTTCTTAAAGCAAAAAATGAAAGTATTAATAACGAAAAATATATCAATTTAAGTAATCTTATGTTAACAGAGAGACAAAAAGACGTTTTAAATTTTGGTATAAATTGCCATTATCTCAAAAATCCGGGTAAAATTGATAAGCAGATCGAAATGGAGAAATTGATGAAATTCGCGATCTTGAATTCAAACAAAAAATAACCAGTCGACCCAACGATTTCTATACTTCTACAAGCCGAATCTAAAAAACAACGTGGCTGTTTCTCTAGCAAATTGATGCATGAAGAAATAAAAACCGCAGCCAAACAACTAAAAGATAATCAAGATATTGTAATTCGCGTGCAGACAAATCTTCAGCTTATGTGCTTCTCAACATAAAGATTACGTCAATAAAATCGATAAAATTTTAAATCAGGGCTTCGAACCGTAATTTTTTTTGTTCCGGTTTTCGGTTTCAGTTCGACTAACAAAATATATTTCGGTTCAGTTCCGGTTTTCGTTCCAGATAAAATTTCGGTTCGGTTCCGGTTATCGGTTCAGTTCCGGGAAACGTTTTTGCCCATCAAAGTTATTAAATTTTGTAAATGGTCATCACAATCCTACTGGCGCAAATTTGTAAAGCAAAGTAAAGAACGCTTATAAAATGATGTAAAATTATTGGTAAGAAGCCAAATTAATTTTCAATTTTAATAAAAAATTTTAAATTAAAAATTCCGTAACAAATAATTCTGAATGCAATAATCACGAAACTTAGCGAAAAAAAATTAATTATCTTCCAGACAAGAAATGAAAAGTGAACTTCTTTGACATTACGTGGTGGAGCGCGCTAATAAATTTGCGGGCAAATATATTTAATTAATTATATTTAATTGCGTTTTTGTAAATGTTGCCGGTATCGCGTGTATCGGATATTATAGTTATTGACATATCATTGTTAATTAAATTTCAACTCATTAAGAAACTAGTAGTCATGAATTTTTTTAATTTCTAAATATACAAAAAAATGTGTTCAAATATTTTTTTAGCCAGCAAATGGAAACAAGGTATAAAAATGCATAACATTTCTCAGAAAACAAAAGTATATATTTATATACAATGACTAAAACAGATGAAAATTTCCTCTAATTAATAAAATGTCTTCTATTTATAGAAGTGTTCATTATAAAAATATATTAACTGCTTCGAACCGGAACGTTATTTTTTTCGTTTCGGTTTCGGTTCGGCAAGCAAAAAATATTTCGGTTAAGTTCCGAGTTTCGTTCCGGCTAAAATATCGGTTTTTTTCGGTTTCGGTTCTGTTCCGGTTCGAAGCCTTGTTTTAAATGATTAAAATAAATTTAAAACAATGGCGGCATAACCTACACTTTTATTTAAAAAAAACTTAATAAAATAATTTGACAAATTAATAAATATTTAAGCGGTGACAAATAAATTTCCCATCCTCGTGCCAACGAAGTTATATGGCAACATTAAAACTCATAAGCCCAATAATCCTCTACGACCAATCATTAGCCGAATACCAATCGTTACATATCCAATTGCTAAAATACTCAGCAAAATACTTCTACCATATCTTTCAGACAACTACAATCTTAAATCTTCAAAAGAGTTTATCGATATATTAAATACCAATCCATCATCCGACATCGCAACACTTGACATCGAAAATGTTCCTATCAAAGATACTATCGACATTATAACTGAAACGGTTTATGATTCGCAATATTCACCATTAAAAATTTCAAAAATATTTGAAACAATTATTAGAAATTTGAACAACAGAAGTACCATTCATCAGTCCTGTTGGTAAAATCTATAAACAGATTGATGGAATTGCCATGGGATCCCCTTTAGGCGTTCTCTTCGCTAATTTATATCTAGGTAATCTAAAGCAAGTAACCCTCAACCAACATCCCGAACTTAAACCCAACATCTACACAAGATATGTTGATAATATTTTTGTATCTTATAACGATCTTAATTTAATTGTCAATTTATTAAAAATATTTAAATAAGTAAAATTTATCATTGAATAAAAGTGATAATAAACTTTCTTATCTCGACATTCTTGTCACTCACAATGAACGCACTTTCAAACCTCCGTTTATTTTAAAGATACTAATAAAGGAATATGTTTAAACGGAAGTAGTGAATGTACTGATGAATATAAACTGAGTACCGTACGATCATTCATCAACCGCGCCTTCACACTCCTCATCCCCAGACGACGTTTCATTTTGCGATTGATTTTGAGCTACACTGCTTTTAAACCGGTGAAACTTTCAAAATATTCAACTTTCTCAAGATTAAGATTTTTTTTTACTAAACATTTTTTGATACGAGACATTAATTTTTATTTGTTATATTATAATATTGTTTTATTGATATTCACAAAAAATTTCATTAAAATATGTTGGCCAGTTCAAGAGATAAGTTCTACATTGGCAAAAATTTTGAAAAAATTGCTCAAAAATTTGAGGCTGCTGTCACAAAAATCTTCACAACAAGAAAAATAATTGAAAATTTTTATAACAAAAATTATTTTGTCGATGAAATACATTGAGGTACTTACTGTTAAAATAAAAAAAATCTTAGATGGTCGGTCGTGAACTTTTTACAGGTTGACAGAATGGCCCACATGAATAAATATAGAATTAAATATTATAGAAACATTATAGAATTAAATGATTGAAAAGAAAACAAAGATATAAAGAAAAATGTAAAATAAAATTGTATGTAAATGAATTAAAATATAAAAGTTAAAATAAATAGAGGAAAAATCGAAAAAGAATAAATGAATAAAAAAATCAAATATGTTAAAATTAACAAAAGAAAATATTAATAATTTAGTTAACACGACAGTCAATTATAATTAGGCAAAGAATTTATGACACTCAAGAAATAAAAAAATAAATAAAAAATAGAAAAACAATATTGAAAGGTTATATAAACAACATTGAGAGAAGGTTGAGAAATATGGTGACACTTAATGAAATGCAGTGTGGGTTTATGCCCGGTAGGGGAACGGTGGATGCGTTGTTCATAGTGAGAATGTTGCAGGAGAATTATAGAAAGAAGAAACGAAGATTGTACATGTGTTTTGTGGAACTAGAAAAGGCTTTTGATCGAGTACCAAGGAAGGTCATTGAATGGGCGCTGAGGAAGAAAGGAGTGAATGAGAGACTTGTTAAAGCTGTGATGCAGCTGTATGAAGGGGCGAAGACAAAGGTGAGGGTCGAAAGGGAGATGTCGGACGCTTTTAGTGTTAAGATAGGAGTGCATCAAGGATCGGTGTTATCACCGTTTTTGTTTGTAATTGTGAGGGATGTTGTGTGTGGAAACATAATGGAGGGGTTGTTATTTGAGATTTTGTATGCAGATGATTTAGTCTTGATGGCTGATAGCATGGAAGAATTGCAGTTAAAATTTGACAGATGGAAAAGTGTTATTGAAAAGAAAGGGGTAAAAGTTAATATTGGTAAGACGAAGGTAATGGTGAGTGGGGAAGGTGGGGAGCAAGTGATAAGTAAAATAGACCCATGTGGTGTATGTGACAGGAGAGTGAAGGCTAACTCGGTATTGTGTATAGGATGTCAGAAGTGGGTGCATAAGAGATGTAGTGATGTGAGGGGGGCGCTGAAAAAGGTGGAAGGCACGTTCAAATGTAAGAAGTGTGTTCATGGTGTGATTTATAGGACGGACTCAAGGACGGGGTTGAGTGGTGGTATTGAAAGAGTGGAAAGCTTTGTTTATTTAGGGGTTAAGCTGAACGCGGATGGAGGATGTTTGAACGCTGTTACGACTAGAGTTCGTGTGGGATGGATGAAATTTAGGGAACTTGGTGGGGTATTGTGTGGAAAGAAATGGTCAGTGAAAATGAAAGGGAGGGTATATAAAGCTTATGTGAGAGCAGCGATGGTATATGGTGGTGAAACTTGGGTGTTGAGGAAAGAGGAAAGTGTACTGCAGAGGGCTGAAAGAGCTATTGTGAGGATGATGCGTGGGGTTAAAGTGAAGGATAAGAGGAGTACAGAGCTGATGTCGAGGATGGGACTGAATGAGGACATTGTGACATTGATAAGGAGATTGAGATTGCGGTGGTATGGACATGTGTTGAGAAGGGATGAAAGGGTCGGGATTAGGCGAGTGTTGGAGTTCGAGGTTGAAGGAGTGGTAGGAAGAGGTCGTCCGCGACTGGGATGGAGAGAGCATGTGGAGAAGGACAGGGTGAAAGCGGGGTTGCGTGATACTGAGGCGAGTGACAGATGGCGTCGAGGGGTATTTCGATTTCATCATAGGTAGCCAAACGGCAACCCCCGATCTCGGGGAAAATGTCGTCTAAACGTGTGTTGTTGGTTGTTGTTGTATATAAACAACATTCAGTAGATGCTTGTTAAAAGTGATTTTTATAAATCAAGTTACTAAGCTATTGCTCGACTGATCGAATTCAATTTTTTATCTCTGTAGCTAGTGTCCATACCTAAAAATCAATTTTCAGTTCTCTTCTAGTTTCTGCCATTAAGACTAAATTATAAATATAATACATGACATATGATGAACTTAATGACTGAATACACTGAACTTGTTGTTGATAGGCATTTTGTTATATATATATATTTCATGCTGCACTAATTTTTTATGTGGAAGAAAATTATTAATAAAAATTTTACATTTGAGTATTTTTAATCGAACTAGAAAAAACGGGTTACAATTTTTTCACTTCCAGAATGACTTGCTAGATGTGGCAAATGCTATCTTATTATCGAGCAAAACAGTTCAAAGAATAAAGGCAAATTTTATAGCTGCGACAATTTATAATTTTTTGGCTATTCCATTGGCGGCAGGTTAGTTTTTAAACATATGCTCTCTCATCGTTTTTTTCGGTTTCTTAAATTCTTGAATTAAAGTTTGGTAACTCAATTTTAAATAAACAAAATTGTAATATGATAACAAATGTTGTTGTTTAAAAACGACCAATCAGGTTTGTTGATGCCGCTTGGACTGCAGCTTCAACCGTGGATGGCTTCTTTTTTGATGGCCATGTCTTCTCTATCAGTTATCGGAATTTCTCTCATGCTCAAATTGTACGTTTATTAAAAACAAACCAAAAGGCACATTTACACATACATACGCCCAATATGTTGCTAATTTTGTTCTTAATTTGTTGTTGTTATCATTATTATTATTGTTGTTGTGTTTTTGTTAATGCTGCCCCGCTTCAAACATCGCTGGAGGAGTCCAGAATGAGGCCGGAGACAGTTGGCCACGGCAACCGGGTTTTGCCAGAGATCTATTACCGTGAGATGTGTAGAGTTGTTCGGGCAGCCAAACAGATGGGTATCGTCGTCGAGATGTTTGCGGCATAACGGACAGTTACTTACTGTCGATTCTTGTTCTGTGGCTGTTAAGAGGGAGATGCAGTGACCTATGCGGAGTTGGGTCAGCGTTCTTTTCATTACTCTGGGCAACTCTTTTTCTGCCTTTTAGGAATGGGGAGTGGCCATCCGTTGAGCAGCACAGCGGCATGATATGACCCAGACACGAGTTTCGCGACGCTACTGTGCAGAATAGTTGATGCTGCCTTTAGCGTACTGCTGTTAATGTTCATGGGCAGCACCGATTGTACCGCATGTGCGTGTTTGGTGTAAATGGTCTCTTTCATGTTTCCGTAACGTCGTTGCTCTCTTGTGATGTAGTGGCAGGGGTGGTTTGTGTTATGGCTATATAATAGAAACTTGGTGATAGGACGTCGGTGTGCTGCCTTATGGAGAGCATTTGGGACTCCGAAAGGAAGTGCTGCTCTGACGCTATCCCATTGCATCCAGTGATTATCCGTGAAGCAGCATTCTCTGTGCGTTGGAGTCTGTTGTAACTTTTATCAGAATTCAGTGGAAACCAGGCGGGGTAGGCATACTGATGTGCTGATCGGCCTATGGTCTTGTATGTCTGCAGCAGGGTTTCTTTGTCCTGGCCAAACGAGGATCCACTGAGCGCTTTTATTATTGAATTACGTTTGGAGGCTTTGGAGGCTATAAGTTTGTGATGCCGAGAAAAGGAGTGTCAAAAGTAAGATACTGTTGTTGTTATTGTTGTTGTTGTTAAAAATGGTTCAATTCATTTTTAGAATCAATAGCGCGACATGTGCACAAGACTCAACACTGTCCCATATTTCGAAAAAATTTGTAGCGATTTGAACTGACAGTCTTCTATTAATATCTCACTCATTATAACTAAAGTAATGTTAACTACAAATCCTAAAGATGATGAACTGACAGCCTTCAATCACATTGAGATTGATGTCAAATAATTTTTTGAACTTTTGCTTCATTTCAATCTGCTCAAAACCGCCATTTTCAATAATCAACAGTTAAAAAACGGCAAAATTAAGGTAAAGGAACAAACTTGATCGTTGGATTGAAATCTACATAGACGCGTTTGATGTTAAAGCTCTTGAAATAACATTTCTACAAGCCATTCAGGGACAATATCAAATTATAATTTTGAATTTATATGAAGCTTTTTGAAAACAGCAATTTTATCATCGGTAGTCAATTTAAGCAACGTATCCAACGTGAATGATGTATGATATATACCAACGTATTTCGGTCCTTTAGATCACTCACTATTACTTGAATAGCATTTGGGATTAAATCAAGTTTAAGCTAATTGTCGATTTCAGATAACAAATAAATGGATTAGCTAGTTATGTTTATGTTTATCTTTTTTTGTTAAATTAAAGAAATTTCTAAGGCCAGAAATAATAAAGAGAAATTAACATTCAATGTAATTCAATAATTGAACTTGTTTTTGACAGCTGGAAAAAACCTTGCAGAATTAGCATAACCACCCCTGAATATTTCAGTGATTTTCAAGAGACACGCCAACATTCCATCAGAGTTTATAAGGGATTCAGTGGAAAGATAAGCGATGAAAATGTTAAATTTCCACGTGCTGAAAACATCCAAACCTTTTCAACGTTTCTTCCATGTAACAGATTTGTTAATGTTATTACTAATTTCTTTGTCTGCAGCAGAAACAAACGGAACAATTACGAATTCAATAAGGGGTATAAGCGATTATTACAAGAAGTGCATGATGAATTTATTGATGATATGTTATCTGATGTTGAGCTTTAAATAAATGCGGTCTTAGAAGTATCAAAAGTAATTTATATAACAATTATCATGCTGATTTTAACAATCATGTTAAAAAATTACTAATTTTGATCAACTAATTTTGATTAAGCATAAGTTTTTATTAACATATCACACGCACATTAGTGATGATTTGCATAATTCGTCATTATTATTGTATTTTTGTATTTGTAATTTGAATTTTACACAATTGTGCAATTGTTGTGAATAAACACACACATACAAGCACACACACACATATATATATATATATACACGTATATATATATATATACTTCTATATCTAATTATTGATGAAAATCACAGCATGTTCGGCGTTAGTTAACTTCCACTTTTCGATTTTTCTAACGGTTGATCGTAAATCATTTTCAAGTTACTTTAGTTCAAAACCAAAATTTTGTTTATTTTGTGCATGATAGAACAGAAAAGAATGAAAAAATTATGAAAAAACCATATAAAATAACGTCCAAGCAACCGACGAAAACGATAGTATTAAACTTCGAATATACTACTCCAACCAAAGAACGTCATCTCTTGTGATGTAAAACAATTGCACTAATAAACCAGAACCGATGATGGATCATAGCCAACTAATATATTTGTTCAAATGTAATATTGGTGAGTGTAAGCACCATAATTCGGAATATATTGGTATGACGACGACCAAGTGATTGAGAAGACTCAGGATCCACGTACAAACTAGCGCAATAAAGTATCACATAAAAGAGAAACACAAAACTAAAATTACTAGACAAATCTTGGACCACAATGTGGAAATCTTACATTACACTAACAACCATTATAATTTACGACTAGCCCAATCAATACTGATAGAAGAAAGACATACGATAATAAATATTCAACTACGGGCTATTGGAATTCTTCCTACCAATAAATTTAGGAACAGATGATTGATTCATCGATAATGAAAACACGTAAAAGTGTTATATTTAACAAAGTCGAAGATTGTAAAACTAAGTATTCACTTTAAACAAACAAGGAATCAGCGAAGTAGAGTAGAGGCACAGTATATATATATTTGAGCATCTGGGCACAAACACAACATATTAATTTAAACACCGAAGATGGTATAGAAATACCGAAAAAAAATTTTGTTGTCCTATCTTGCATAAAATTAACAAAAAATTTTGTTTTGAACAAAAGAAACTTGAAAATGATTTACGATCAACCGTTAGAAAAATTGAAAAGTTAAATTGGAAGTTAACTAACGCCGAACATGCTGTGATTATCATATATGTATGTATATGTATGTATATATATATATATGTATGTGTATATATATGTATATATATATATATATTGGATTAAGACTGCTATATATATATATATATATATATATATATATATATATATATATATATATATATATATATATTTGAACATCTGGGCACAAACACAACATATTAATTTAAACACCGAAGATGGTATAGAAATACCGAAAAAAAATTTTGTTGTCCTATCTTGCATAAAATAAACAAAAAATTTTGTTTTGAACAAAAGAAACTTGAAAATGATTATATATATATATATATATATATATATATATATATATATATATATGTATATATATATATATATATATATTGGGTTTAGACTATCATAAATACAATTATTTTTAAAGATCCCTGCTTTTTGGCATTATTCAACTTGTAGTTGAGTTTCTCAATTTTTCTAACGAGACTTTTATCATGTTCATGAAGTTTATTAAGGTTAAATAAAAAACTTTTAATATTTGACATTTTTGACAAAACATTATTAATAACGTTATTACTACAAAAAAGCTCTTTTCGGCATCAACTGCCATCACCAGTGTAGTTATATAGTATTGTCCCGTCTTTGAGTCTTTGTTTTTACAGCGACTTTGTTTGTAGCTTAATTAGAATTAAAGTTAATCATATTGGAAGAATATTGGTATTATTTAGTTGAATATTTATTGCTGGTTTACGTTTATCGATGAAAATTGATTCTGTTATCTTCAATTTGAGGTATTCTCTGTTGTAATAAATTGCTTTGATGTTATTGTCTAAAATTTCCCTTGTTATAATAGTGTTGCGTTGTTCCATTAGGTGGTCTTTTATTGCTCCATGTTGCTTATGCGTCAATTTGTTTATAAAGTTTGTTGTCTGGACAGTAGAATGGCGCTTCCATTGTGCTGATTTCTAGCGGAAATTTTAATTGTTTTTTAGGTATATTTAAAGGCGTGTTTAGAATTATAGATAGTGTTTAATATGATTTCAATGGTATCTTTGACGGGAACATTAGTAAATAATGATTCCACGTCGAGTGAAGCAATGCTTGTGTTAATTGTTGGTGTGGAGGATGAAATGATGTCTATAAATTCTTTACTGGATTTTAAACTATAGCTGTTTGATGTGTATGGAGTAATGAGTTTAGTGAGGATTTTAGCAATGGGGTAGGTGACAGTAGGTATTTGGCTAATGATTGGTCTTAAAAGGTTTTTTCTTTGTGAGTTTTTACATTACCATATGGGTAATTTTTACATGGGTCACTTAGAAGAGATTACATTCGCCAGGCTGGTATTCGCCTATCAGTTCTGGAATTAGATCATTAGTTGATGATGCACTGATTGATTTTATTATTTTATTAAGTTTGGTTTTTAATTCAGTTGTTGGGTCTTTTTTAGTTGATTTGAATTATCGGACAGTATTTCGTTGATTTTGTTCCTATAATCCGTTTTATTGACAATTACATACATTGGAGCTTTGTCTGCCTTTCTTATTACAATGTTGTTATTGTCTTTTAGAAATTTAGCTGCATTAATTAGTCTCTTTTTAAGCAGCTTGCTTTTGAAGGATCCTCTTTGTTTCTTGCTTTCGGCTTTGAGTTATTATAAAAATAATGTCCTCATCAGATAAAACAGATGAAAAAATAATGAAAAAGATAATAAATAACAATGTTAAG